CCCCCCCCCCTGCCCTGCAGAGCAGAGAGATTGCCTAAACAAGCAATCTCTTTAGGCAACATTGGAAGGAATGCACTAGTGTCAATTGTTTGCCTAGCGCACTCAGGGCTAGGAACTGCAAGCACACTAGGCAAACAGCCAGTGCTAGCACATTCCTTTCAATGTGTATTTCCCATTATGTGCCTGCTTACTCTCTTGTAATCCTTCCTCTCCAATGAATGTAAATACAAACATTAATTCTGTTCTTGCTAATTATCCCAGCACTGGGGTAAGCGTTCCAAAGGGCAGGGGAGTAGGGAAAAAGGAAAGCAAAAGTAAAATCATAAGCACAGTCACAGTCACATGATTTTCCACTTAGCGACTGCATCACTTAGCAACAGATTTGCTGGTCCCGATTGTGGTCGCTAAATAAAGACTACCTCCAAAATTTCAGGATTAAATTATTTCCCATAATTTTTATGATGTGGTTTACAATGTTATCTTTTGATTGTAAATGGTCAACTAACCTTGATAGCTGGCAGTATATCAAGTCAAATAAATAAATAAATAAATAAATAAATAAGCTACTTATCTTATCCTTTTAATTCCCCAACCAGCCATTGGCTCTCCCACATATTATATAAAACATTTTTAGTTCCTGTAACCTATATTCTCTCCCTTAAAATAATTTAAAGAAAACTTTCCCTTAATTACTCATTTGTTTTAGAATTGCTGCTAATACACCGAAATGGGTTTTGGAATAATATTAAATGCTTTGTCATAAAAGAGATCTGCTGTACTAATTAAACTAGTGTTTTTTAAACTTGGCAACTTTAAGATGTGTGGACTTCATCCTACAGTTAAAGTCCACACATCTTAAAGTTGCCAAATTTGAAAAACACTGAATTAACCTTTTCATTCTCTATACCTGTGATGGAAGGTCAATGAGGATGCATGGGGGTGCACAAGAGGTGCTGTGTGGGTTGTGGTATGCGTGGGGGTGCACGAGTCGGTGAGGGTTCGTGAGAGGCGCAGGGGTGCAAGGGGGGTGCACGGGAGGTGCTGGGAGGGTCAGAGAGGGTGCATGAGAGTTGCAGTGTGGGTCTGGGAGAGTGCATGAGGGCGCTGGGGGTGTGCAAGAGGCACAGGTCAAGGAAGGTGCGCAGGGGTTCAGCGTTGGTCAGGAAGGGTGTGAGGAGGTGTGAGGGAAGTGTGGCACGGGTCGGGAGGTGCGAGGGAGGTGTGTTGAGATGCGGGGAGGGTGCAAGGGAGGCGTGGCAAGGGTTGGGTAGGGGATGCAGGTAGGGTGCGTGAGTGGCTGGCATAGCCTGAGCGCAAAGGGGCTAGGGGAAGGTGCATGGATGGGGAGATTTACCCCAGGGACTTGCAACCTTCCCTGCCGGCTTCCCCATTGACTTTCTGGGGAAGCCGGCAGGGAAGGCTGCAAACGGTGATCATACGATTGCGGGGTGCTGCAGCCCAGTCATAAGTGTGAACCAGTTGCCAAATAGCCTGAGCGCAAAGGGGCTAGGGGAAGGTGCATGGATGGGGAGATTTTCCCCAGGGACTTGCAACCTTCCCTGCCGGCTTCCCCATTGACTTTCTGGGGAAGCCGGCAGGGAAGGCTGCAAACGGTGATCATACGATTGCGGGGTGCTGCAACCCAGTCATAAGTGTGAACCAGTTGCCAAGCACCCAGATCGTGATCATGTGACCGCAGGAGCTCTGAGACAACCAAACTCCGAGGCTGGTCATAACCACCATTTATTCAATGCCATTGTAACTTGGAACAGTTGTTGACTGAATGATCTTGGTCAAGGACTACCTGTGCTATCTTAAGAAAAAGGAGCATAGCCCAAAGCCTGGAAAGCTTGGATATGGCTCCCAGGGATCTCAAAAAATTGTGTCTTTTGTTGTTGTTGTTTTGGTGCTTTCAAGTCAGCATTGACTCCTGGCAACTACGTGGACCAGTCCCTGCAGTTTTCTTGGCAATATTTTGGAACCGGTTTGCCATGCCTCCGTCCTGGGGCTGAAAGAGATTGATTGGCCCAAGGTCACCCAACTAGTTTTGTGCCTAAGGAGAAACTAGAACTCACAGTCTCCCAGTTTCTAGCCTGGTGCCTTAACCACTATACCAAACTGGATCTTTCCAAAAGTTGTTACCAAATTCATAAAATTCATAATGTGACAGAAGTGAAGATTGTTAAATACATGACTGAAAAAAATAATATTAACTGTATTGATTATATTTAATTCTCCTCAGTTAAATGTAAATGAAATGAAATCCTGTTTTGTTTTTGTGTCAGCCCAACCTTCAATTTTTTTAGGGTGGCCTCTTAGATGTGATTCAGAGCTCAAGTGCTGTGCAAAGATTTTTCTCTTTGGTTGTCTCCAGGAAACCAGTGTAATTGAAGTCCCTTAGGTAGGAAGAGGGCTGATCAGGAATGCTCCCAAGTGGAGCATGCCAAATTAATATAATGCCTGAATAGGATTAATAAGATTATCTGTCTTCTCGTATTATTTGCAAACAAAACTCATAGATTTTGTAACATTTTAGTATAAGAGTAATAGATCTGTCAAAAGTGCTTCTATCCCATTTGTATTTTTGGGAAAGGGAATATTAATAGTGGGCATAACAGATAATGTTGTGCTTGGAAGCTGGTTCAGATGTTTGGTTGACTTATTGAATTACTTTGACCCTATTATCTTTCAGCCAACCCTGCCTTTTGGGATTGTTGTGAAGATGAAATACACAAAAATATGTGTGTACTCTAAGCCCCTTGACAGATAACTAAGTTAATCTCATACATTTTTCATTTCCAGAGCAGCCTTTGCATTGTTTTTAAAGGAAACTACTGGATAGGGAGGGGAAGGAAGAGAAATTGTACAACTCTACAAATGTAACATTTTCATTTGTAGAGGATAAAATATATACATCCTTTGGAAATTACTAGCAGGATTTTGGATTCTGTGAAACAGGTAGGAAACATTTGAACCATTAACCAATAATCCAGAATACAAAATACTAACAAGCAAAATTGTTTTAGGTTTCTGAATTTGCTAAATCTTGACTGTCGTTTGTTAGAGGTTTTTATTTTCCCAACCAATATTTGGAATGAGGCAAACCTTAGAAGATGCTTTTAAAATTTAATTTTATTAAACCACCTCCTTTTTTCCTGGTGTCTTATCTCCAGCTCCTACTGTCTTTGTACAGGTCCCGTGGCTTACCAAAGCTGAAACAGTCATTTTCCCATGAATCCTTGCTGAGTCCAGGAGGTCCTATTGAGACATTAGATCTTGGGACTGATGAGAAAGTCTTTGTCATGCCACTTCATAGCAGCATAATTGGACGAGACTTCTGCTTTGAGGTAAATAAGTAAATGAAGGTATCCATTTTATTCCAAGAAAGAAAGAATATAATGGAAGACTGTGATACATAGTGTTTGATCTTCTCAGTCTTTTAATTCTTTTGATTTTGTAAGAGAGAGCAAATTTGTTGCTTTGGATTTAACATGAGAAGGTTGTAGATTATCTGATGATTAGATGATTTTCATGTCCTTGAGGTAACTGATATCAGTTACTGAACAGAAATGAACACTCAGTTGCTTTTCTTTCTTAAGTGAACATTGCAGTGAATGATTAAGAGAAGCAACAAGGAACTGGCAAATGTTTTATTGGGCCATTGTCAATTGCTGGAGAGTTGTGTCACAGCTGGGCATCATTTTTGTCTCTAAGGACCATGTTAGCAATGCAGCATCAGATAAGGAATTAATTTGCATGTTTTGATTATATCAGCAATGATTAGTGATGATGTAGTTAACTTGCCTTGACTTCTAGTTGCTCTTTGCAGTCTTTATTGGTGAACGCTTGCAAAATTTATGAAGGGTTTGTCATTGTAGCATTTGCAACAGATCACAGATGAGGCAATTTTGTCTATTCACTGTCCCTTTCCCATCCCCAAAATTTATTGGAGGCAGGGGTGGCAGTTAAAGCACAACTTTTACATTTTTCCCTCTGCCTGGCTGCTTTTTTTTTTACCTCTTCTTAATGCCTATTATGCTGCAACTTCACCATCTCAGATTCAAAAATTCAAATATTAAATTAAAACTAATTAAGAATAAAATGGCCAACACCTTGGGAAATCACCAGGTCTTGGGCAACTTTGTTTCCAACTGAAATATTGAAATGTTTTAGGTAGGAGGTGAACATCTTGGAAGATTTGATGATCTCCTGAGATGTTTGCCATTAAAAAAAGGAAAAAAAATAAATATTTTGATGTATGCACCAGTGACTGCTTCCAATATCCTTCAAGACTGCAGTTGTCCTGGATCATAAATTGGGAATCGTTGGCTTTGGTATTTAATGTATTCAGAAGCTTTTTATCTAATTTCCTTAATACATTTTTTCCAAATATTTTTCCCCTTTGGTATTCCTAATGAGAAAAATGAAATAATAGTTTTCCAGTAACTTGCTGAACTGAATTTGGGAGCTACTGTCTTTAATTATGTATTGAGCTAAATCATGGTGAAACTTGTTCAATATAAAAACAACATACACATGCATAAATACAGTACACATTCATGGAGAAACAATGATCTGTCCCTGCTTGTCATGGAGGTTGCCTGGCAAATTTGTTTCTTTGGAGGAAACAAGAAAAATTACAACATACTTTTATTGATATTCCATGAAAAGGAAACTAGTTTTTCTAGTTTAAATACAATGACTTGGGTAACAAACTTAGATTTATCTATGAGAAGTGGTCCTCTTAAAAAAGAACAAAACAATATTTAAACATATTTACTTATATAGTAGTTGGTACAGTCACTTTTTTCCAGTTCTCCAGTGCAATGTTTAAAATTTCATAGTAATCAGATCAGTCTTGCTCCTCTATAATATAAGGAATAACTTGTTCTAATTTGTGAGAAACTTTAAAACTGATGGAGATGGTAGGCTTATTCCAATTCTCTCCTCTGTTGTCCATACAAAAATGTTATTAGACCTAAACCTTATTAAGGCGACATATTTAGCAGAACATTTTGTGCAATCCTATGTTATGTTATGATAAAAATATTGTGTAGAAAACATTTGATTTATGACCAGCATTAATATAAACTGTAAAAAGCAGTTATTTCAAATGTCCTTCAATGCTGTTTATTACTTTATAAGTAGATTTATTAACTTAATCAACCTTTTAGGCTAAATTTCCATTTGAAAGCTGCAGTCTCCAAGTTAGGAGATTTGGTGAGTATTTCAGCCACAATTAATAGTTTCCAGACTAGATCATAATGTTTCTGACACTCAGAGCTTTTTAATACCCAAAGAAAATGCTCAACAGATTAGGATTCTGTTATGTTTAAATTTCCTCATTAAGCTACTATGTTGTAAAGTATTGGAGCATCTCTGCTGTTTCGTTTCATGCAATTACAATCTCATTTGTAAACTTAGCTCATCCTGACTTTCTATAATGTATTCTAGATATCTTGCTCCAGTTGTAGTAAATGCTTCAGTTGCTCTTCTGCTGCTGAAAGAGACATTTGGATGGAGAACATACGGAGGGCTATCCAGCCTAACAAGGTATTATGTAAAATGCAGCCCCAGAAAAGCATCCATTGGAAAATGCATCCTGATTAATAGCTTGGGATATCAGACTCTTCCCCAAACAAGGATACCCTTTTAAGTAGATTTGTGGCATGAAATTAGCTGCCTCAGAAGGAAAACTGCTTAGTAACCCCCAGTTAGACTTCGTTGATACAAAAGTATGATTGATTACATCTTTAACTTATAAATATGTCACATTGATTTTATTTTTATTTATTTATTTATATTTATTTATATTTCAAATTTAGACAATGCCCATCTCACGAGGAAGTGACTCTGGGCAGTTTACAATAAAAACAACAAATAAATATTAGTTAAAATAGAATAAAAATAGTATAAAAATACAGTAAAACAAATACATACATAAATAATAATATATTCCAAGATGGTGGTGATCAGAAAGATATTAACATATGGGAGCATCTTCAAGGTGCTACCCACTCCCAGGGTTGGTTGCCCCTTTTCTCGCCCCATGCCAGTTCGCAGAGCCAGGTCTTGACTGCTTTCTGGAAGCAGTCAATTATTGAACAAGTACTTCCAAGTACTTTGGGGAAATGATTAGTAGAGAAGTGGTATCAGTTATGAATACTAATGATTGCACTGATATATATCAGTGCAATTTTGGAATATGA